CAGTGGGCTTCCGAAGAGAAATTGCTCCATGCACGGTCGTGCGTATCCGGACGCACGCGTGCGTGCCTCTTACGCACGCCGTGCGTGGCACCCAGGCTGCCCAACATGAGGTTTTTTATGACGTTTTGCGACGTTAAGACCTTTCCTTGATCCCGAACATGTGTGTGAACATAGTAAACCTCTATAAATGTATAGAGATGGTAGGGAAGGTATCTTACATAACTTATAAATGTAGGAACGCTAAGGATTAATGGGAAAGATGCACGAATCCTTATCGATACTGGGGCACAACGTTCATTCGTGGGTGAGGCGTTTGCCGAGGGTTTGGAAATACAATCATTACCGTTGACGCAAACCCTAGTGGTATCAACACCACTAGGAGATGATATTGAGAGGACTTGTTACTATCCATCTTGTGAGGTGGAAGTCGATGGCCAAACCTTGACGTGTGATTTCATACCGCTGAGCATGATTGATTTTGATGCGATCCTAGGGATGGATTGGCTAGAAAAGCATCATGCTAGGGTAGATTGCTACACGAAGGTTATGGAACTCGAAGGCAATGATGTGAATACCCTATGCTTCGAGGGTGATCGAGGCAAATTAAACAGTTATATCATATCCGCCGTTAGAGCAAGAAATATGATGAGAAGGGGATGCCACGCGTATCTAGCTTTCATGGTAGACAAAACCAAGGAAGAATTAGACATCAATGATGTGAGAGTAGTGTGCAAGTATCCGGACGTCTTCCCAAAAGACCTACCGGGACTTCCACCCGATAGAGAGATTGAGTTCGTGATCGAGGTTGAACTCGGCACAAAACCAATCTCCATACCGCCATACCGGATGGCACCCGCAGAACTTAATGAGTTGAAAACCCAATTGCAAGAGCTATTGGATAATGGTTTCATAAAACCAAGCTACTCCCCGTGGGGAGCACCGGTTCTGTTTGTGAAAAAGAAAGACGGGACGCTTCGAATGTGTATTGACTATCATCAACTAAACAAGGTCACAATTAAGAATAGGTATCCGTTACCTAGGGTTGATGACTTGTTTGATCAGCTCCGAGGAGCAACAGTGTTTTCGAAGATTGACTTGAGGTCGGGGTACCATCAACTGAAGATAAAGGAGGATGACATACCGAAGAGTGCTTTCCGCACAAGGTATGGTCACTTTGAGTTCATAGTCATGTCGTTTGGGCTAACAAACGCCCCAGCGGCATTCATGGACTGGATGAATCGAGTATTTCATAAGTACTTGGACCGGTTTGTGATTGTGTTCATAGATGACATCTTGATTTACGCAAAGAGTGAAGAAGAGCATGAGGAGCACTTGGTACTTGTTCTTGAGACACTACGAGAGAAGCAACTCTATGCTAAATTTTCTAAGTGTTAATTTTGGCTAAAGGAGATTGACTTTCTCGGGCATGTGGTTTCGGGATCAGGAATTGTCGTGGATAACAAGAAGATTGAGGCCATTACCGAATGGGAGAAGCCAAAGAACGTCAAGGAAATTCGTAGTTTTCTCGGATTGGCAGGTTACTACACGAAGTTGATGGAGAAGTTCTCAGTTCTGGCATCGCCATTGACAAAGCTCACTCGGAAGGGGGCTAAGTTTGTATGAGATGACCGATGTGAGAAGGGATTCCTAGAACTAAAGAAGAGATTGACCGAGGCACCGATACTTGCATTATCCAAACAGGGTATGGGGTACGATGTCTATAGCGATGCGAGCATCCAAAGGCTTAGATGTATGTTGATGCAGAATGGAAGGGTGATTTCTTATGCTTCACGACAGTTGAAGAAGCATGAGGTAAATTATCCTACCCATGACCTAGAGCTGGGGGCAGTGGTATTTGCACTGAAGATTTGGAGACATTATCTCTACGGGGAGACATGTCACATATACACTGACCATAAGAGCTTGGAATACATGTTTACTCAGAAAGAGCTAAACATGCGACAGAGGCGCTGGATGGACTTGATAAAAAACTACCATCTAATTATTGAGTACCACCCCGGTAAGGCCAACATGGTAGCAGATGCCTTGAGCCGAAAGAGCTCATCGGGGGCATTGTTGACTAGCTTGAGGGCATTGAGAGCTAAATTGGAGGTATCTAGTGATGGTGCCTTGATTCGAGGTGAGACCCACGCTACTTGATGAGATCAAGAAGGGTCAATAAAATGATGAAGAGCTTATGAAGGTCCGTGAATGCATGCTAGCGGGACCGGTTGAGGATTTCAGGGAAAGAGATGATGGTCTCTTATTATTTCGTGACCGAGTATGTGTACCGTCGGATGATGAGCTCCGAAAGTCCATCTTAGAGGAGGCCCATTCATCGGCGTATGCCATGCACCCGGGAGGTATGAATATGTACCGTGATTTGAAAGAAAGTTACTGGTGGTCTGGTATGAAGAGGGAAATAGTCGAGTACATCAGTAGATGTCTTACTTGTTAGCAAGTTAAGGCAGAACATCAGCATCCAGCTGGGTTACTACAGACAGTTTCCAGTCCCGAATGGAAATGGGAGCACGTGACTATGGATTTTGTGGTGGGGCTACACGGACGGTTAAGAACTATGATACCGTATGTAGGGATGGACTAAACCGAGCTGGCCCGGCCCGGAACTGACCCGACCCGCTACTGTGCGGGCCCGGACCGGACCGGGACCGGTTGGCCGGTTCCGGGATTTTAGCCCGTTTGGGCGGGTCGGGCGGGCCGGGATCGGACCCAGTTTTGGGCGAACCGGCCCGGGCGGTTCGGGCCGGGCCCGGGCGGTTCGGGCCGGGCCCGGGTCAATTTTTTTGTTTTTTCAATTTTTTTTCTTTTCCTAGGGTAGGGCTGGGTGTTTTGGGGAGGTTTGGGGGGGTGGGGGGGTCGGGGGATAACAAGAAAGCAAAAAAAAATAGACATTGAACCGGGCCCATCCCGGTCCGGTTAGGCCCGGACCCGATATCAACCCGGGCCGGTTCCGGGCCCAAGGATTTGCAAAAAAAGCCCGCCCGGGCCCGGCCCGGAACCAGAACCGGACCGGCCCGGGTCCATCACTAGCCGTATGGGTCGTGGTTGATAGGCTCACGAAGAGTGCGCATTTTCTACCTATCAACACCACCTATACGCTGAAGAGATTAGACAAATTGTATGTGGATGAGATCGTGAGGCTACACAGGGTTCCAATAACCATTGTATCCGATAGAGATCCATGATTCACATTACGATTTTGGCCGAAGTTCCAAGAATCTATGGGAACCAGATTGAAGCTTAACACTGCTTTTCATCCACAGACAGATGGGCAATCTGAGCGGGTCATACAGATATTAGAAGATGTGTTGAGAGCTTGTGCATCGGAGTTCCAAGGAAGTTGGGACAACCATTTAGCACTTGTGGAGTTTGCCTATAACAACAGTTATCAGGCAAGTATTGGTATGCCTCCATACGAGGCATTGTATGAGAGGAGATGCCGTACACCTTTGTGTTGGGATGAAGTTGGCATGGCCAAACTTGAAAGTACAGAGTTGGTGGAAATCACCAAGGCAAAGGTAAAGACGATTCGTGAGAGGCTTAATGCGGCCTAGGATAGACAGAAGAGCTATGCCGATAAGCGCCGAAGAGCCTTGGAGTTTAAGGTGGGAGATGAGGTGTTCTTGAAAGTTTCACCTTGGAAGGGAATCATCCGATTTCAGAGCCGGGGAAAACTTAACCCACGATACATAGGGCCATTTGTGATTCTTGAGAGAATTGGAGCCGTAGCATACCGATTACAGTTGACTCCAGAGTTGGAGAAGATACATAATGTGTTCCACGTGTCTATGCTTAAGAAGTATATGCCGGATCCATCTCATGTATTAGAGAAACCACCCGTGGAAATAGGGCTGGATCCGAAAAACCGAAAACCGAATCAAATTAAACCGAACCGCGACCAAATAAAACCGAACCACTAAAAACCGAAACCGAATATAAAAAACCGAACCGAACCGTAGTAGTTTGGTTCGGTTTTGGTTTTTACCCTTCAAAACCGAACCGAACAAACCGAACATAAATAAAATATGAAATTTTATTTGTTAAATGTAAGCATTAATCTTAATATCATCAATAATCTTTGAATTTCTTGTGCTAGAGAAATGATGTTTATGCTATGTTTAGTTTAGTTTATAAATGCATTTACACATTCATTGCCCATAATAATGTAGCTATATTGATCTATTATGTCTTTTATGTATGTATGTTGCAATTTGTTCCATGATTATATATTTTTACTAGTTATTAGTAGTAATTAACTTTTATTTTTACGTAACTTAATTCTTTTTTGTAACTTAACTTTTTTATATTGATAAAACAAATAAATATTCATCTCGGCTAAATCACACTGGACGTATGTATTCATAAACGTTTTTCAAACTAGTCACAAACATTGTAAATTAAGAATAGATACACACTTTTATCTCTCCCACATACTCATATAATTCAAGACATATTTGTTTATTATTATTTTCTTCATTTGTTCAAGTATGCTTGCATTTTTATGTAATATGTTTGATCCCTCCAACATTTATATCAATTTTAAATTAAATGACAAATATTTAGTAAAAGACCGAAAAAATCGAAACCGAACCGAAACAAACCGTGGTTTGAAGTTTTGGAGTGTAAAACCAAACCGAAACCGATTCGAACTTTTACTTTGGTTCCGTATTTGGTTAGGTCAAAACCGAACCGAAAGAACCGAACCCACCCCTACGTGGAAATACGGGAAGACCTGGACTATGCCGTGCAACCGGTAAAGATACTTGATAGGCAGGTAAAGAAGTTGAGAAGCAAGAAAGTTCCAATGGTGAAAATCCTTTGGAAAAGTGACCGAGTTGATATTACATTAAAATTCACATTGCACAAAAAATCTACAACAAAATCAAAAAATTACATTGAATTCAACATTAAAATTCAACATTTCATACATATCCACATTTCACAACAAATCAATTCACAAATCAATTCTTAATTTAAAAATTTGAAATTTTTACATTCTAAACCTTAACTTAAAATATGAGATGAAATGGAGATTGATTTACCTAGAGGAAGGAGTGTTGAAGAAGATAGAGGTGGAGTATCCTTAGCAAGGTGGAGGGGCGTCACCGTCGAAGCACTCGCCGGAGTTGAAGCATCAGGTTCAAATCGCCGGATGGCTTTTTTGGGGTGAGTTTCGTTCTGTCTGCAAAGTCTGCTAGCCGACCTGTCTTTTTTAAAGTGAAAGTCACCAATTCATTTGACATTTGACAACTTTTCACAACCAGTGTTAAGCACAATAGTATATTGGTAAATACTTTTAATCCAACATTATTTCGGTAAATAATTATTTAATTCGCATTAATTTGAAAAAAAAAACTTTTTTTTACACATGTTTAGAGAACTTTCTCACAGTAATAGCAAATGATAAACGGAATACAACGTAGCCTTTCAGGTAGCGCAAATTATACCATGGGATCGGCCCACCTCGCGCACGGTGTGCCGATTCCCAAACGGTGCCGTTTTATTAATGAGAAAAATAATCTTCTCTCCCAATTTGTAAAGTCTTCGTGCCCTAGGAGATTCGATTTGGAGCCGTCGGAAGAAGCATCAGAAGCTATGGATCTCGATTCTGGCTGAGCCGTCGCCTACAAAGCTCCAAATTGGACTCCATCTCAGCCGCTCTTATCCTCTCCTCCACAGAGAGAACCAACGTGAATCTGCCAAGACAAACCTTCAAGCAATAACCACCACAAGCCACCTTTAGGCATATGAGTGACATCCATCATGTTGTAGCTGCCAATTACTCCACATGTGGCTGCCAGCTGCCTGACACAGGGATGAGGATAAACTTCTGACTCTTAATGCTGAAACAATGATGGTGTCCGATCCCTATAGCTTAAGTTGTCTCCTAAGTTACATTTTTATAAATCTAAAAAAGTTACATTTTTATTAAAGGGATTTACATTTCATTTATCTCAAGTTACACATATATTAACGTGAGTTACATTCCAATTTTCCTCCATAAGTTAAATTATATTTACACGTGATTTACATTTGTCATAATGCAAGTTACGCCACAAAACAATGTGAGTTACACCACAAATTAAACCTCTGTTATTCAAATAAACATGATTTTTTTATTAAAAATCATTTCTAATGACCTTGATATGAAAAACAAAGCATATATACTATTTATGTAAAATAATTGGGCAATTGGACTCTTTTTTTCATTTCTTACATTGAAATCAATGTTTTACTTCTTATATTCTGTTTTTAGACAACTTACATTTCAACTTGACTCAAGTTACATTTCTTATCGGTATGAGTTACATTGTTTCAAACACGAGTTACACCAGCCTGTTATTGAAAATTTGAAATTATAAAAAAAAACCGGAAGCAGGTTGCTCAAGGTGAGCCGCTCCACGATATACCAACAGTTTAGGTAGCAGACCAGTAGTACGCATTATTGATGTGTAAATGGGTTTATAGTCAACGGGCTGACGACCGTTTCTTTAAGAGAGGAAAAACACAGCCCGACATACCATAGCCGAAAGCAAAAAGAGAAGGAAGGGACCACGAGAAAAAGGCGGGCTATGGAAAACACCTGGCAAATCCACGACTTGGACTTCGACACGCACAATACCATCACCTTCTTCTCCGACTTTCCTCCCTTTTTTTACTCTGTATTAGTCTTCCATCCCACCTTTTTTCTTTTCTTTGTCCACAAACGTACCCAAACAGCTGAAATGTATCAACACAAAAAAATAAAGTCTCTCTGAAATGCTGAAGCACTGAGGCATTTCATTGCATTCTGGCTTCTGCTTTATTCATCCCTCCAGGCTCCAGCTACTTTAAATTTCTCTAAATTCCCAGTAAGCAGCTTTTAAAGAAAACAACTTTACAGTATCTTTGTGATTTTGGTGCCTAGAAGAGGCATTGATATTAACAGATTCTATCAATATGTTATATTTCCCAAATGAGAAGATTGTTTTGATGTCTTTTTATGGGTATAAACAATATGCTGCTAATTACTCTTCATAACTAAGAAAGTTAGAATTACTAGTTACTAGTAGGCTAAAACTTGTCTTCTTTATGGTTTTTTAGTAAGGAGTTGCAGTTGAAGTGGATTTTAAGCTATGGTGCTAGGGCTGAGATCAAAGCCCAAAAGGGGTGCTCCTGTTAAACTAGACTTCAGCATCCATGTCAAGGAGGTGAACCCATGGCCACCATCACCATCCCTTAGAGCCATCCGATCCGTTTTGCTCGTCTGGGTAAACGGCGATCGCAAATCCGGGTCCCGCTTGGCCAAAGTAGGGCCCACAAGCATTGAGTTCAATGAATCTTTCACACTCTCAGTCACCCTTACTCCTGAGAAGAAGGCTCAAGATAAGCTCCAAAAGAATTTCTTGAATTTCTACCTATATGGACCCTACCGGAAGGACAAAACAAGTAAAGGGAACCTCCTGGGGACATCGGTGGTAAATCTTGCAGATTTCAGGGGGATTGAGGAAAGCGTGACCACTTCCGTTCCTCTGATCAGCAAAAATGCTTCAAAAAGTTCTGAGCAGCCTAGGTTGTTCATCACAATACAGCCTTTTTATAAGGAGAATAGCTTATTACAAAGAATATCATCCGCTGACAAGGAGGAGCAGGTATCCATTGCTGATTCAGTGAATGAAGACAATGATGATCGATGTGAGATTGCGTATTTCATGGATGATGATGATGATGTATCATCATCACTATCACATTCTTCTCTGGATGTCACTCTGTCTTCCTCGGAGGCTGCAAAGGCTTCATCGTCTCTGCATGAGAAGGTATGAAAACATTCCTGATCATATTAATAGCTCCTTTCCTAGAGCTAAAAATGGCTGAATTTGTTGTAGAAGTTGGGGTTGAAATGGTTGAACGGGCTAAATTATCTAAGAGAATTGTTTATAATATACATGGGCTTTATAGAAGTAATATAAACCACATTTTATTCGATAACAATGAAAGTGATAACTCTTTTGACATTTCAAATAAAGCAAGGAAATAAATTGCGGGTGTAAATGAAGGTAGAAATTTCATTTTCTTCAGTTTGAACTTTGAACAATTTAAGTAATAAAGAGTAACTTGTTTACTACTCCCTCAGTCTCAAATTGATAGTCTCATATTTTTGTCACAAAGTTTAACAAACTAAAAGGTTTGAACTATGCCAAGTTAAGGTTAAAATGGACATTTTAACATACAAAAGTGTGCGGGTACTATTAATTTTTTAGGACACTCAAAAGGGAAATATGGGACTATCAATTAAAGAGGGAGACAGTACTATTTTTTTCTTTATAAGCTGATTCAGCCAATATTCTCTAATTCTTTGTCTAATGAGTTGGCATCTCACAAACATTGCATTTGAAATTTTTGTTGGGATTATGATTTATTGACAGGCAACCTGGTAGTCAATAATTTCTTGCACAATTTTCCTTGTATGTACTTATGATTGATAGTTTTGATATTAATGTTTATGAGAAACATATATGAATTACTCTGTACAATATATAAACTTGCTTTTTTAGGAATACGTTATACTTTATGCCTTTCAGTTTTATATTTTTTGTAATAATAATTGCATTGCATTGCATTACATAATGACCTGATACATCGTAAATGTCAGGGAAAAAAGAAATTTCTTTATTGAATGATTCAAAATTCAGATCATAAATGGCACTTTTTATGGTGTCAAAAGTGCAGGATGAAGTTGACTATGAAAGAGATGACTTTAAAAGAGACGATATAGACTCCGATACACTATTAGCACCGGTCTCTGAATCATTTGTGAGTGTTCCTTCTAAGGGGTTGGATAGTGTGTCTGAAAGTAAAGCATTGTTGTCATCAGAAGCATCAACCTCAAATGTGGGAAATCCTATAAGCAGTGACGCTCCTTTACCCAATATTTCTGAGAGAAGCATGGCTGAGAATGAATTCATTGAAAATTTACATACTGGTCTTGAGGAGAGGAAGGATATAATGGCTAGTCTAGAATCTAAACATGAAGAAGAGAAAATTCCTTTAGATAATCCACCTGTGAGTGTTCAAGAATCCCTAGAGCAAAAAGAGAGACATGCTGATAGTGAAGTCACTAATAGCTTACTTATCAGCAGCCTTGGGGATGGAGTGGATGTAAAAGAAGATGTACAAATTGAACAAGAACAACATAGAATCTCAAAAGATGACTTAAATGTTGATTTTCAGAACCCCCAAAAGAAAGAAATGAGAACAGGACATCCTGAAAAGGAAGCAAAATTTCATTATCAAACAAACGATGAATGGAAAACAAGAATTGCGATGCTTGAAGAAGAACTAAGGGAAGTCGGTGCAGTTGAGCTAAGCCTTTATTCTATAGTGGCTGAGCATTCAAGTTCTTCAAGCAAGGTCCATGCTCCAGCTCGTCGCCTTTCCAGATTCATTTTTCATGCTTTCAAGAATAAGTCTCAAAAGAAACAGGCAAGTAGCATCAGAACTGCTGTTTCCGGTTTAGCTATAGTCTCTAAAGCATGTGGAAATGATGTACCAAGGTGCACACATATTCCTCCTCCTAAAATCTCATTAATTGATGCTTTATGATTTTGGTCTTTGAACTATTCTGTTTACAGGTTAACTTTTTGGTTATCGAACACGATAATGTTGAGAGCAATTGTTAACCAGGCTACTGTAGCGACAGTAGACAAGAACAACTCATATATGTGTAGCATCGAAGGTGAAACCAAGGGTGCCACAGAAGACCATACTGACTGGGGACATATGGAAATATTTAATCTTGCACTGGAACAAGTCGAAGCTTGGATCTTTTCCCGAATTGTTGAGTCTGTGTGGTGGCAGGTTAAGTTCCCATGTCACAGTTGTAACATGATTTGATTTTAATAGTACTTTTAATTTTTTTTCCTTAACGTTTGGTAGGCAGACAGGAATATAGGAAGAGTTGAATTTGAATAACATGGGAAAAGAGTACGGTGGATTTTAAATTCCACTACTTTGTAGGTTTGCATGAAATTGCTGGGAATCATGAGGTTTAAGACCAAAAAGCCATTGAAAAAACTAATGGGTGCATGGCAGCATGGGGGTAATATTGTCCCATCATACCATCGTAACCGTATCCAACTTTTCTTCTCACCGAGTGTGGAAAAAATAATGATGCCCACCCAGGTAGCTTAGTGAGGTTGTTGAGTCCCATAAACAAACTATGGGAGGGAAGAGTTTTACCGTTGCACTAAACATTGCATTTTCACCAACATTGGAATTAATGGGGAAAGGAAAAGTAGTTTCCACCTACCAAACGGGTCATTTCGGTCAAGGCTCATTGCTGTGGTTTATATTGTGTTACATTCCAGACATTCACTCCACATATGCAAAGAAGTGTTGTAAAAGCAGGCAGCATATCTAAGGCCTCTGATTCTATGAAAGGAAATATGATTGGGTTTGGAGGTGAAGAGCGAGGTAGCTTGACTAGTTTCTCAATAGATCTTTGGAAGAAGGTTTTCGGGGATGCTTGTGAAAGGCTGTGCCCACTTCAGGCAGAAGGACATGAGTGTGGCTGCTTACCAATGTTGACAAAATTGGTATGTTGACAATGTGTGATTTATTTACTTGATTTTGATCATCAATTGTAACAGTTTCTATACTTCTGTTACATACTTAACTAGATGTTAAATACTCCCTCCATTTCACAATTGTTATTGAAGTTTAAATAGTCAAATACTAAGCATAGAGATTAAGAAAATTATTAATTTTCCTGAAAAATGCTACAAGTACAAAGGATCTTGTGAAGTGTTGTTACAGAAAACGTTGCAGACCATGTGATCACCATATATGTAAAAGTCATGTCATGTGTTAAAAAGAAGATATTGTCATGTTTCAATTTTATACTTCGCAAGTTTTTTGTATCATAGGCTTGTTCATTTTGCAAAGATGCACCCCCCAAATGCAATGCTTCAAACAAGTTTTGCTGCCCAAAAAGAGTCCACTTTGATTAAAAGAAGCTAGTTTTTTCATATAATTTTGTAAAGAAGAGTCACAAACGAGTTACATATGATAATTTAGTTAAACTAACTGATAAAATTAAAAAAATATGGATATACTCTATGACTTATTGTGGTAGTATGATATGAAGCAGAATCTGGGCTTGGAAGAAGAGGGGCAGAAGCCCCCGTGGGTTTATTGAAGGTGGGAACGGGCTTGAGCCCACCTTCGTGGGCTGGTTGCGGGCTGCTTAATTAATATTTATTCTTTTTAATTTTCCTGATTTGTTTCCTATTTGGAGTTCATTAGGATTTCTAATATTTGTTTCCTATTAGGAGTTAATTAGGATTTCTATTATTTGTTTCCTATTTGAAGTTGATTAGGGTCTTTTTTTATTCTATTTCCTAGTTGGAGTTGATTAGGATTTCTAGTTTGGGAATTAGTAGATGGGTATTTAAACCCCTTGTTCGGATTCATTCTGGCTCATCTTGGAATAAAGTTGGATTTTAGCCTTTTGTCTCTGGGCAACGGTTTACCCCGTTGATTTTATTTTTCTGTTTCACAACATAGTACCTAACCAAAGTAAAAAGTTGTACATTAGCCTAACACTTGTTTTTTTTTGGGGGGGGGGGGGGGGGGGGGTACGGGGTACGGAGACAAAGAGAGTACCTAGTAACCTAAACCACTTAAATAAGTACATCTTGAACTATTAGAAATTACTATAACTGACAAATGCAATGTTGATTTTATAAAACTACATATATTCATATACTGTGGAACAAAAAGTATCAGCCAGTTATCATGAAGCAGAGAGTACTTAACATGACATTATTATATCTTGAACTATTAGAAATTACTTTAAATGAGAACGAAGATGGAGAGGAAGTGAAAAAACAGAAACTTAGTATCACATGCTCTGTTGATTTTGTAAAACTACATATATCGTGAAAGTCTGGAACAAAAAATATCAGCCAAAACTTGACAGTTATTGTGAAGCAGGATGTACACATGACATTATTAAATGCCAAAAGAAAAACAATTGTGCTGCTTATGATTGTTGCTGAAAAAATAACATATCTGTTTCCTCTCTTTGATATTGAATTGGTGAATAACTATACATCATACCTTTCATACGGATGTTAACGTTGTGATTCTGTAGGTTATGGAACAGCTAGTGAGGAGATTGGATGTGGCAATGTTCAATGCCATTCTCCGTGAATCAAATGATGAAATGCCAACGGATCCTGTTTCGGACCCTATTAGTAATCCTAAGGTCCTCCCTATCCCTGTCGGAAAACTAACTTTTGGAGCTGGTGTACAATTAAAAAATGCTGTGAGCACCCACTTCTTTCTACTTGATACAGAGAATTGCTTTTGTTTTTGTCATGGATAATAAAGGGGGCAATCATACCATTTCACCCTTAACTGATATTACTCAAAAGAAATCACTTTGATGATATTTTGTCATTACACACTTCTACCTAAAGTATTACCTAAAAGTATCTTTGTCGCTACACTAATGTTATTAAAATATGCATAAAATGTTTTCATATATAGTGTGTATAAAACAAATGAAATATGGGGCAGGGCTGCAGGGGGGAGTCCCCCACCATCCAATTTCCCGTCCCTAATTCAGTATGATATGATGCGCATTCAAATTTCATTTTTTGGTTGCCCTACCGAGTAATCACTTGATTACTATTTGAGTGATATTATTTGAAAATTGTGACAAAGTTTGGAACTTTTTTATACGGACCACAACATAGTTTTATTAAGGTAATATTTGCTGGCAGATTGGGAACTGGTCTAGATGGCTGTCTGACTTGTTTGAAGCTGAAGACGATAGTGAGTTGTCTGATAGCAGCAACACTGAAGATAGGCGACCAGAGGAATCTCGCAAGCCTTTCCGTCTACTAAACGCTTTAAGTGACCTGATGATGATTCCATTTGAAATGCTAGCTGATCCACTGACAAGAAAAGAAGTGAGTAACATTACCAGCTCTAATATTGTCCCAACATGGTACTGCCTAACACATCAGTGCTCAGATTATCTGAAAGTGTTGAAATTTTGAAGGTTTGTCCCACATTCAGCCCATCACTGGTCAAGATCATTCTCAGTCTTTATATGCCCGATGAGTTCTCCCCAAACCCAGTTCCCCAAAAAGTGCTTGAGGCGCTTGATTCTGAGGTTAAAACACTCTCTAAGATTCATCATAATTTATTTTACTTTTATAGTAATTTTATTTCTTTAAATAGGTCTTTTACGACTACAAATATAGCATTTGTTTTTATGTCGATTTACATAGGTTACGTTGTTTTCTTATTTCCCCCCGTCAAAACCCGTTAAAGAACTGTTGTGACTTTCAAATTTCCATTCTTGCAAATGGGAATGGACGGAGGATTGAAAAGAAAACAATGTGATTTATAGAGATGAACAACAATTTCATAGACGGTCCTAAAAGAAAAAAGGGAAAAGGTGCAAATAAGCCCTCAACTAACCGAAAAAGTGCAAATCACCCCTTTTATAGGAGGCTATGTCCAGCCGTCACCATTTGGGGAGGTTCCCGATGGAATTTTTTGATGATTTTTTTTATCATCTTCTCCATTAAGTCTAGTTCACCCATACCAAATTTTCTGCTAAAAATTCAACCAGGAAGGCAGTCAAATGATTTTCTGAAATATACTGCGTTGTTTAACTGCGAAGTTATCTTCAAACATTTATTTGACTGCCTTCCCGATTGCATTTTTAGCAGAAATTTGGTATGGGTAAACTAGACTTGATGAATAATATGCTCAAAAAAATTAATCAAAAAATTCCACCAGTAACCGTCCCAAACGGCGACGTCCGGACAGAGCCTTCTATAAAAGGGGTGATTTGCACTTTTTCGGTTAGTTCGAGGGCTTATTTGCCCCTTTTTCCAAGAAAAAAACATTATATTTGAACTGAAAAACATATTTAAGCCATATGATTTTTGTCAATAATATTTTTCTTCCATTTTCTAAGGATGACACGGATGCTTCTGTTGAGTCTATCACTGGCTTTCCATGTACTGTAGCCCCTACAGTCTACCCGTCACTGACGGCAGCTTCGCTCACTAGGTTTGTGGGACATTCTGGAACCCAACCTTTATCACGAAGCAGGTCATCTGTCCTCAAAAAATCATGCACAAGTGACGATGAGCTGGACGAGGTGGACTCGCCTCTGGCTTCCATCATAGTAGGGTGTCCTACTTCAACTAGCTTCAACTGGAGTCCAAATGTAAAGGGTAGTCCTAACCTTATAAGGTATCAACTACTTCAAGAGTTATGGAGATGTGATGATCAATGAGAATTGGGGAAAGATTGAGTAAATATGTACATAAGTTTTCATTTCTTATTGCTGTTTTATCGTTTTGACGATATTAGTATATTACACAATAACACAACACTGTTATAAAGTTAAAGTTATCACGAGTAATTTAATGGAAAGTAATCTCCTAGCTTGCGTGTGCTCCCCTAAGAAAAAAGATTAGGGAGAGGGGAACACTTTTACGATCTTTTATAGAAAACATTAAGGGTGAGTAGTTTAAGTTCAATTTGACAAAAAAAAATTGTCTAATTGGTCAGTAAACATGGATTTCAATGAAGGTATGTGGGAGATGAAAATACTACATACGTTTTTGGGACTTGGAAAGTAGGGTTTTGGAGGGCATCATAGTGTCCATAGCCATTGTATAGGACACAAATAGGGTTGTCAGTCCCACCATACTCTTGACCATATTCTACTATGACTTTAAAGCGATTCGTCTTTGTATCTCGCATGAACACTGTGATAGGAGCCCTACAAAAATTTTCAACTCAAACTCAAAGGTATGTGGCTTTTAATGCATTCAAGGAATAATGCAGACATGCAAAACGCCAAAAAGTACTGTTGTTGACTCGACCACAGACATCTTATCTTGAGCAGATGATCCAACAAGCAACAACTAAACCCCACATATATGCTAGTTGGATCAAGCCCAAGATCATAAGTTTGCTATTGAACTATTGAAGACAAACTGGTGTTGCTTGTCTGACTGAAAGTTCAGCATGATAAGGTATAAAATAAATGGGAGAAAAGAGAGTACTTCCTCACAGGGTCCGATTAATATTACTGTCCACTTTGACTTGACAAGCTCATTACAACAACAACAATCAAGCTTTAGTCCCAAAAGAGATTGGGATCTTGACGAGCTCATTTAAATTGAAGAATCGTTTGATTTAGACACCATAAAATTCCTTTATTAAAACGAAATATGAGATAATTTAGAGGGTATAAAAAAGAAAAGTGGAAGACAGACCTAGAACATAGAGAGTGTATCTAAGCATACGGATTGATGTAAGGAGAAAAGAATCGTTTTAACCCAAAGACAAGCATCAGTCCGAGCTTGAAATGATGATTGCCTAGTTTGTACCCAGAAGGTTCTCACTTTTTCATGGTGTGTATATATGGTAACAGCCAGTGGACTAAGAATAAAGCATTTAACTTGACAATTTTTTTTTGAATGAGAACAGAAAAGGGGAAAGACATTAAAAACACCTACTGTAGAACATGGGAGGACATGAGGAGTTCAGGTTCACCTCCCCATATGTGGGGCTGTCTTATCTGCCTCACGTATGTATCAAAATCTCCTTCCACGAACCTGATAACACACAACATAAATCTATGCCTAGGGTGACGATGGCATTTTTTGGTGAACTCAATAGTGGAAATAGAATACCATTCAGAATCTGCTCGCCTCTTGATAAACTCTTCTGCAACCTGGAAAATGAAATGTTGGCTGTCCAGTTGTCCTCAAGAAATAGAATGCAGGTGACTAATGTTAATAATGGCACATATCAACATGATAAGAGTAAACCGATTGGGATAAATCATTCAACATCTCACTGCAAGACAGATCATTTGGTCATTTGGACAGTGGCCATGGTGCAAATGCTTTTCACCATAGGGTCCCAGATTACGGATACTCTGATACTAAATTAAGATTCAATCCTAAAGATGTTAGGAGTAGCCAAAACTCTTTTTAATTAATTTATTGTTTATATTTAGCAGTTACAAATTGTTCAACAAATGTTGGAATTTACAAATTTACATACACACAAAAGAGGGGTTTACCCTAGTTAACTGTAGGGTTTCCAATTTTCACAAAAAGTTACTCCTACAGGCTAATAAAGTAATTTCCTTACTTTTCCTCTGAGCTCATCAGCAAGTTGTCTTCCATAGCTTTCACCTGGAGATGGGTTTCCTTCTCTTAGACAAGCCCCATGAACCACGGAACGGAACAAACATCTTCCATCACCTGGTATCCCTGTAGAATGTCATCAACATACATCATTAATACTCATTATACAGTATAAATGTTCAAGTGCTTCCCTTCTAAAAAAAATCATATGTAAAAGACCATGTTTGGTTGGTGTGAATTTGGAATTATATACAACTAGGCTGCAGTTATTGAATTCTAGTTGAAATGCTGACCTCGTCAAATTACAGAAAATATCATAATAGGTATCCACTCCGTATATTGTATTTTTTTAATGCATTAAAGAAGACTATAAAATAGCGGGATAAAGTTAATACTACGTATTTGGTATACAAAATATGGCTGATGTATACACAAAAGAAGAGGTCACCCAACACGACCTCGGGTGAAACAACATAAGAAAATCTTCTTCATGATGAACACCAATGAGGCAACGAGTACCATATATCCAAAGAGAATCTCTACAAACCAAGGACTAAACGCGATGGATTCAAAACTATCATTTCCCAAAAACAAGCAAAGCAAAAACATCAAAGAACCAAATCTTGCAAGACAAAACAATATGTGGAATTTCATACCTAACCTCTCAGCCATATCAGCTGGCAAGACTTCCCAAAAAAATAACAGGTGACCTCACAGTATAATGAAGTTCTAACAGAAAGAAAACTAAGGTACGCAAAAGCAATCCTTGTTGTTAGGAAAAGAATAAGAACTCAATCAACCCTTCAACGCACGCAACAGTCTACCATTGTAATACACATGCTCTTATATAAAGAAAACCCTTGACAGAAGATACGTAGTAACAACTTTAGACATACAAATGGCACGGGCCGCCGATGTGTCTGGCGCTGGCATGAATATCGACAAGAAAATGCAGATTGGAAGAGGAATTCATTGAAAAAAAGTGATAGCTTTAGCAGAATAATTTGGGGTTCTATCTTCAGTCGTGTTTACCGGATTCTAATTCTTTCGATAACAATTAAATGTAAATTGACACCATAGAAGATGGGCGGATCGGAATCTGATTCTGTTTCAGGACATCGACAGTGGATGTTGATGAAGAAGACTGACAAGGAAACTAGCCAGTTAGTTCACTCTTGTATTCGACCTTCGCACGCCTTTTTTTTTCATTTGAAAACACAATCTAATGCTTCCTTAGAAAGTGTGTTTGGTAAACTTAATTTGAGTTTTTGTCACTTTTAGTCCTTCGGTTGTTATGTATTGACATTGACGTTTTTGGTATTCGATTTTGAGTTTTTTTCACTTTAGGTCATTTGATTATTGTGCGAAAAACATTTTTAGTACTTTTCTTTGAAAATTTTCACATTTAATTATTCAACTTTTATAAAAGTGACACTTTTGATCATCCGACTATTATAATAATGATATTTTTAGTCATCCACTTATTGTATCAAAATAATCGTGGAAGGACTAAAAGTGTCAATTTGATGATACTAGGAGGACTAAATTTGGAAAACTTTGAAGTCGAGGACTAAAAGTGTCTCTCGCATAATAGTTAAGGATTAAAAGTGGAATAATTGAAAGTCAAGTATCAAAAGTATCACTGACCCAATAGTCGAGGTATTTAAAATGGCAAAAACTCAATTTAATTTTGACAATTGACTGCAAAGTACAAACAATAACATGCAAGAGGGACATGTTGTGCAATTGATGACATTTTTTGTAATTTTAGGTGAAAAACACATGCAAGACAGACAAATTCATACAAACTACTCAAGGAAATAACAATATGCACCAAAAAGCATTTTTATTTCAATTAAAGGAGAACAACTAAATAGTACTATTTGTGAACAATTACTAATAACAAAATTCAATTTGAGTTTTACAAATTTTGGAAAATATTTTTGTAGATAACAATGATGGTTTTCTTTGTGCTTTAATTGTCACTATCCATCAATAAAATTTTCAATTAAAAGAGAACAACTAAATTTTCAATTGAAAATTTTCAATTTTCACTTTTCAATTTTGGAAAATAATTACTAATTACTAATTACCAATAACAAAATTAACATGTTGCACGTATTAAAGAACAGAGGTAGTATATAAACACACCAATATTCATCATGATACATGTAAAAAATCGAATCATACAGTCGTACTTAAATCTATATAAACTCAACAACATTTGAAATAACAAAAAAAATTGACATGCACCCGATATGACCAAAAATCATTTCTCCTCTCAGATAACATGGATTAGCCCAATATACAGGCCCATCTATCAACCCGCCAACCATATATAATTAGATCTTCCTTAGGGTTCGAGGTAAGCCAACAAATCCTTCATCTCCTCCTACCACTTCTCTCTCCAGGAAAATCCACAGATAGCCATCTTCACTTGAACACCACCACCCGTCGATCCATTCCTCTTGAAACCCATCGCCTCCTCACATAGTATTTTATCAATAGTTGTCACCCGTAGGATGATGATGAGATTGCCTCAATAGCGACGACTCAGACGGCACGAAGTCTGATGATGAGATTGCCTCTATGGTGGCTGGGCCCCAGACGATGTTCCTCGCTACAAACTTGACCTAAGATTGATCAAAGAGAGGCGGCAGAAACTAACTTCTCAGAATAGGGCCCAAATCCCAGCCTTAATCCTGGACCCAGTGGACTTCCGTCTTCGGGCTAGGCTTCACCCAATGCGCCACCTTCCTGGGATGGTGGTGGTCCATTTAGACTCGGTGAAAGTTGGGCCTAGGTTTCCCTTGCAACCATTTTTTGTGTCATTTTTTAAATTTTACGAGGTAGTACCAACCCAAATCATGCTGAATTCCTACCGGGTGATGGCCGGCTTCATCTGCCGCTGCGTGGATGCCAAGGTCACGCCCCGTCTGGAACTATTCCATCAATTTTTTAAAGTGGCTCCTCAGTAAACACATGGGTTTTTGGCTGCCAGTGCCCGTACAGGATACATATTATTTACCTACAATCTGACCTCTATCAAGGGGTGGAAGGATCGGTTTTTTTGTTTCCATCCCGGATGGTTTAATCCCGAAAATATGGAATGGCTTTCCCCACAAATATCCAGAACTGTTGCTTACCGTGGAGATTAACAAAGATGTTTTTGCGGTGGGGCAGGACAAGAAATGCAACATTATGAAATACCTCACAACCGATCGACTCGTCGAGGCCAGGATAGGTACTGCCCATATTCCTGGGTTTACTTGACTGAAAACCAAGTGCCATGAGCCGGGCGGTCCTTCCCGTACGAGAAACGTTTTTCTTTGTTTCCCACATGATAAGACTGCTCGGTATTAACTCTTTCCTTTGAAGTTTTTCAGGTATCAACCCAGACACTCCCATGGATGATAGTCGCGTGCTCGCTGCTGGTGGAGTGGGTAAGAGAAAAAAGGCTAAAAAGAATGGCCAATCCAAACCTGTTGCTGCCGCTACCCAGAATGATGAGCAACCTCAGCCTGTTCAGGAGGTTCGCCCCATTCAAGAGGTTCACCTGGGGCAGTCTAACATTGATGACATGCTGATGGATAACCCCTTTGGGTCAAATGAGATGCATCCTTTCTCTGAACACTTCCAGGCTGTTCATGAGATGAATATGGAGACCGGCCACGTCAATACTGCCACTATTATGGGGCAGATCAACCGGATTTCTCTGGAGGACCCAGATAATGAAATCTTGGAGAGGGGCGGTTCTTCTGCGAGCCAGATCTGGTCTACCTCTGCCTTCTTCAATAATTTCCCGTTCCCCGATCTTCCCGTCGATCGGGTGGAGGAGTGTGTTGCCTTAACGGCTCTGAAGGTATTTTACTTCCTATACTTCCATTTGTTCCTTTTGTGAACTGGTGATTTTTTCTCATCTCGTCTTTTTTGAATGACTTGTAGATGAGGCTGTACAGCTTGCAGCTACGGGAATCCCGTTTGACCAAGGAACGGATCTGACCATGGCCCGGGCTAACACGGAACAAGAGGATGCCACTGTCATCCGGGTGAAGAAAGGCAACGGTTCGAGACTGAGCTTGGTGAGCTCCGGGTTCAGCTGCTGCTTCCCAGGCCAAGGTAGCCGTCGCGGAGCTCGCTCAGGTGGTATTTATAGAGACTGTCCCCTGCATTCCGGATGGCCCTTCCGTAGTGAAGGCGGATCTCTCCGTCTTCCAGGATGCGTTCAAATCCTCTGATGAGTTTGGCATCATCAATGAGGAGTACGCCATGCAGCACCTCCCAGTTGTAGTTGGGGCTCATCTTGATAAGTTACTCCGGGGTGCCGAACGGTGTAAAGCTTGAGTGGATCTTCTTGACAAGGACTACCGGAGCAAGCGTTGGAACAATTCCTTGGCCACGGATCTCTACGTTAAGGGCTGCCAGCATATCTTATTACCTTTTGTGTCCGAGCTGCTGCTTCCGATCTTCCGCAGGTTGACATTGTCACATCTTAGTTCGAGAAGTACAAACGAGATATGAAACGGGCTACTGATCGGGAGGCTGGGAAGGAGCCTGAGCCCCCCTCTGAATCAGAAGATGACGAGGATGATGAGGAGGAGGCCGAAGTAGATCAATCTTTGTTTTTCCTCTAATCGTTGTAACTTTTTTGCTTAGAACTTAAGACCATTGTACTTTCCAGCCGGTAGAGCCGATGAATACAATTGACATCTTTTTGCCCAACCGCTATCTTTATTTTATATCCTTCATTTTTCGCTTTTCGCTTCGGGATTCAGTTATTTTTCGCTTTAACTGATATCTTTTTTTACTGCTTTGCAATCTTTCCTGTTTGGGAGATTTTGTGGTTTAAGCATGGCTGGAAACGACATCTTCCAAGGCTCCTCGTATCCCGTTCGGGAAGACTAACTGGTCCTTCCGCGGCCCTCTTCCTGATCCCATCATGTGTAGTCCTGAAGGCACGCGTCGATCTCTGCTCGGGATGTCCATCGCTACCATTGGTACATTCGTCGTTCGGTCCATCTTTGGTCGTGAACTAGGAGGTGTCATGATTGCTCGCAACCACCTTCTGCCACGTGTCCCCTATGGATTCGGGTTTTGGGCGGCGTTTTCTTCTAAAAGAGGAGAGGTGCTTCCTTCTTATTTTCCGGTGCTTCTTCAACCTTTTGTAATTTCTCTTAAGCATTCTCTCACTAGAATTCTTAGGTTCTAAGGAATTTTAGTTCCTTCCCTTTTATGTCTGTTACCTCCCGTTCCTCAGATACAGACGACATGCCGCTTATTCGTCGTCCCAGAGGAAAAAACAACATACCCGATCAGATGGGAGGTTCTTCATCCCAGGTGTCGGATACTACTAACTCCTCTGCGTCCCGTCATATTGAACAGCCTCTTCCGGATGACGGATGTTCCTCGGGAAATGATCTCGCTATTTATGAGAAAGGAATGCCTGAACACCCCCACCCCCCGTATTTCTTTGCACTTTCACCGCATTAGGAAGCAGCGTCAGCGCCTTCCTGAGGATGCCGAACGACAGATTCGCCAATTCTTGCCACCCTAGGGAGTTTTACGCAGGCTTCATTAAGCATCCTATGAGGCACCGTCCGGGACACGTGCTGGTGCACCTTGACGTTATGGTAGCCGGAATTCATTTTCCCCTTCATCCGTTCATTGTGGACTTCTTGTGTCGGGTCTCTGTGCTTCCGGCTCAATTTATACCTAACACCTACCGAATTCTAACCGGTTTCATCATCTGGTGTCATGACCTGGGGGGTGTCCCCAATGTTGAACTGCTCGGCTTGTTTGCCCTTCAATCCTGGTATTTTATTTTGATTTTACTTAGTGCAGGTGTAATTCCTTCTGGTGAGGTCAAGCGTCCCACACCTGCCTCCACCTTGACGGTCCCCACTGGGAAGGGGAAAGAGAAATTGACCGTTGAGGCCCGGGGTGATAATGAACAAGCCCGGAAGAGGCATTGGGGAGATGGCGTTAGCCAACTTGTCCTGATCGATCATGTAGTTGATTTGACCGGTCCGCAGACTGAGCTCTAGAAGTCTACTCCCCCACCTGCTAAGTCAGGAGATTCGGCTCTTGCCAATATGTCGATCGATGATCAGATGTTTGTGGAGTTCTCCAACCTGGGCCCCCACGCAGAAAGGAGGTATCTGTTCGGCCAGACACCAGGTTCCATGTGGTGCAACACGTCTTTGAAGGCTCCCCCCAGCTTTACCAACTTGACTCACTGGTCTGACCTGTTCGAGGCAGGTCATCTTGAGGCCCTTAAGGTATGAATTTATCGGGCCTGTTTTGGAGATTCTGTATCCTCT